CCCCCCACACACACAGACACAAACACACACTCACACACATACACACACACACACACACACACACACACACACACACACACATACCCATACCTGTACACACACCGGCACATTGTACAAAGATTTGTGGACAGATTCGGTCTTTTTCTGTAACAGAAATGAAGGCTTGGCTAAAGAGTTTTCCATGAAGTTTCTGCACTTGGCTATTGACTTCCTGGAGCGGAGGGAGAAGGATCTATTTTCTGTCATGCAGACTGCTGCCTCAAATGCTGAGCCCAAGACCAAGGTAAACGGAAATAAATACTGTAAAACCTGTTCAAAAGGCCATCTGTATTAGACAATCACCTCTGCAAATAACCATCTCCCTATTAGGCCTATGCTCATGTGTATTTTTTTTTTTACATTGTAATGATACGTGTGAGGCGGTCACCTATCTAAGACAGCCACTTTTCTCCTCGACAACGGCTGTTCGTCTTAGAAAGTTTATACTCTAATTCAATTATGTCAATGTTATTCAAGGATATTAACTTTGACTGTTTAATCCGAGAAAAAAATGTAAAAGATTTGGTATTGAGTTCACGAGCTGGCGGCACCCCAAGGAGCTCTTGAGTCGGTGACGTTTGTTGGCTACTTCCATCTCGCTACCTTCTATGTGCTCCGTACCTAGTTTGGAGAAATTTGACCTAAAAAAAAATTTGAGTTTCAAAATGTGTTAAGCTTTTTTAAAATACAATTCTTTGACTATCTTGTTAACGACTCAGAATGATTTTTCAATTTTGATAGAACATGTAAAGCATTTGATTTCTGATCTCATGTTCTTAGTAACTAAAAAAGGCCAAACATGTCAGATGGAACTTTGTAATTCTGAGGTAGCGTTAATCTTGCACCGGTACTTTCCTTTCGAAACTTCACTTTCTTTTCTTGTGTTTTTTTTCTCCAGTCTATGCTTAACACATTATTTTTGCTGTACTTTTTTCTACCCATGCCGACCTAAAACGCTTACAAACAATTTACCTAACGAAAACCCATTATGTGTCTCTAGCATAGTTTCTGTGCTTCACACACTAACGTCATACAAAATGTTGGAGTTTTTACACCTTCATCGACACAAGTTATGTCATTTAGGAGGCGGGCTTCCGATCCTGTCTGTCAGGGTCACCTCGGGCTGAAAGGAACACAACATCCCAGCAGAAAGACCGAGATACTCGATAACATTTCTCTCCACTAGGTAATCGATCTCGGGTCAATGTTTGAACGTCTGGCTCTAACTGGAAAAAAAGAAGGGACAAGAGGCAGCTTACTTAAAGTTTTTAAAGAACTTCATTAAACTAATAATAAAGAAAAACAGGCCTGCGCAATGTAGAGTGGAGTATTTAAGAACAACCCAAAAAAAAAAAAAATCCGATCAGAGAAATGAGCGGTGAAACATGACCGCCGATGTCTATTTCCGATCTGGCACTTGAAAGTGAAGTAGAAGATGACCACTGAAATTTGGTTTGAGTACCTCAGGGTTTTTCAAAAGATTTTGAGATCACCTGTCAATACTAGTTTTCAAACAAACAAAAACACAAACAAAGAATCAAACCAATAAACAAACAGTCGGATTTGAGGCTAACAACAGCAAAAACATGCTCGATAAAATGATATTTGATGAAATATTTTACAACAGTTAAAAATATTCCAAAAATGTGAATATCTGAATGAGATGTTTAACGCCAGTAATGACAAAAGTAACCGGGCAAAAATTATAATAATTTTAAAAATTCAATCTTGCGCTGAACTCAGGACCACAAGGCTGCAGCAGTGTCTATCATGGGTCGGCTGCACGCGCTCCTCAAAGATGCAGAGTATCCTTGGTATGAACACGTGGACATCCTACCAGGAGCGACGTGCTTAGTGCGAGCACTCATTCGACCTGTGAAGTGAGTTGAAACCACTAGTACAGGAGTAGATGTGTATCATGGGCAACGCCAACTACTACTACTGCAGCTGCAGGTGCTGCTGCTGCTGCTACTACTACTACTACTACTACTACTACTACTACTACTACTACTACTACTACTACTACTACTACTACTACTACTACTACTACT